AGATAGATAGATAGATAGATAGATAGATAGATAGATAGATAGATAGATAGATAGATAGATAGATAGATAGATATAGGTGTATATAGGACTGCAATGCCTTTAAAAGTATGGATTGACAATTTTTGATATGTGACCTAAGACAGAGGTTACTGTTACTGTTCTTCAGTCAGTTTCATATAAAATCTAAAGTATTAAAAGGAAGGGCCTGTGGACCACAATGTTCTTGCAGAATAACAGACACTTTCTCAGCTCCTCATTTATTCTTGTCCGACTTGTTTTAGCAGCACTTATCAGTGTTGAAAGTTAAGACCCTGAAGCAGTACTAACAGGCTTTCAGACACTATTAGACAACCCGGAACTACTCAGGGTACACTCGTTCATGTGCATTTGGATATGTTTAAAGATCTCAAACACCCACTCGTGTTTCCAGAGATTTGCCCATCTGCTATGGATATTTCATTTTGAACAGTTTGAAGCACTTTGGAAACAATAACACTTGTTATTAGTATTAATTCCTTGTTGACTTTGGTCTTTGGATGGGATTTGTTGATAAAGAAGGGAAATATGTAGACTCTTACTTGCCTTGCCTGTAAAGTGAGTCCATTTAAATGTAAGCAAGAATAAGCCAAATACAAATCTATACTTATAGATTGATATTATCATAAAATTATTTTTCAAAAAAGTAATTTTCTATGACTTGCTCTCTGGAGCCTCATTCCCTTGTTTATATATTGGTTTTTAGGATGGGGGCCAAATGGCAGCGGATTCGCAGCATCTTGAATCCACGAATGCTGAAACCCAAGCACGTCTCCTCCTATGCCAACACCATCAATGAGGTGGTGTCAGATTTTATCTGCAGAGTGAACTGGCTGAGGGAGACCAGTGGACAGGGAGTCATGGTCAATGACCTGACTGCAGAGCTCTACAAATTTGCTTTTGAAGGTTAGCAGAAAACAAAACAAATAAATGAAATGTTGTTAATTAATCAGCTTTAGAAACTCATGCAGTCCATCTCATTTAGATGCTTGGAAACAAGAAGAAAACAGAGGAATAAGCTGTGTAATTGTTCTTGTCCTTGATTTTGTCAAACCTGCAGACCTCATTTTCTGTGTGTCATTCAGTAAGCCGACAGCTGCTTTTTCTTTTGGCCTTGACCGCTGATTAGACACGATAATGTGGTCATATAATGCGACACGGTCACTTTGACTGCGATTATTTTAAGTGTTACAGTCCGGTCTCAATCATAAATCTAAAATCCGACAGCAGCACCGTCCAAATGAAATCCATCTTCCAAGGCGGCACATTCCTGCTTAGAATGTTGGTGGTGTTAAATTTATCTTATGCTAGCAGATCTTTACACTAAGCTACACTGGCTGCTGGCTGTAGCCTCAGAATGTGATTTCTTCCATTTCACAGCACATTACATTTAAAGATGCGCTATGTGAAACTTGTGTCACATAAACTGACCACATATAAAAGATCGCAGTAGCAGCTCGGTGACAAAAGCGAAGGGTGGTTTCCCTCAGATGTCTCGTCTGTGACCTCAGTTACAATGACCTCGTTGGCTCCGTGTCAGGTCTAGTGAAGTGGAAAAATTCAACCGAAGTCCAAGAATAAACAGGGAAATACTAGAGATGCATCACAAGCTCTAAACAGGATGACTTAAGGATAACATACATAAGGAACAAAGACGACCTGAGGGAATAAATACAACAGAGGTGAAAACACAATCAGCAAACTAAGAATCAAGTGGCAGGTCCAAGAAATGAGCGCTCACACTCAGTTTTACTCAATACAGCCGAGTTTAATTATGCTTGCCATCAGAGTCAGAAAGGAGGCTAAAGCAGGGTTTGCTTTGCTGAGTGACTGACGAGTGGCTAATGGTCAATGGGCCTCATTCACAAATATTAGCGTGGAAACATTTTTAATTGGTGCAAAAAATGAGTTTTGCATGCAAATTTACCGTAGCATTTATAAAATACGAGTATCAGTCTATTTTGTTCTCACCACCGTGCATATGCTAGTAAATCAGAATCATTCGGGACCAGCTCACAATATCCATACACGGAGATGATTTATCTGAATTTCAGCAGTGGGATAACATCTCCATACACACCCCTTCTGGTTGTCTGTCTATACATGACCACCCCCGGCACTACAAGTTGTTTGTTCTTGTTTTCGTGCCCCTCCCTCCCTTTTAAATCCATTCACCATTCATTAGTACGTGGGGATCTGCCCGGCCCAGGAGCCTCGGCCAGTCCCCTCTGAGACCTTCCCCATACCGCAGCGTCAATTCATACTCAAGCCATCTGCCATTATCTGCTAGAAATGCAGTCAAACCTAAAATGAGGATGTGATCCAAGCTAGTGAATTGCATTTTATCAGTGCCTCCAGTAATCTATATAAAGAAACACATTTGCTGCCAGGTGAAGTAGAAAACGTGGTGACTGAGATGAGGTGGAAGCCAGATAAGGTGCAGCTTTCTAAAGTGTTTCCACAGGAGTGACCATCTTTCAGTCATTTCACCTGAGACAAGAAAAATGTGGAATCAAAGTTGATATGAAAAGATTGGCAAACAACAAGAAAGGAAGGAAGAAAACAGGTGGAGGACAAGGATCATGTGACCTGTCAGCCCCAGATGAGAGAACAATAAAAGCCAGATTATCCAGCATTCATGGGATAGTGCAAAAAACCTATTCTATGAGTGACATTCAGCAATGACAGAAGTCATTTGTAATGAAAGATAAGAACATTTAAGATACAACAAGATGAGATAAGGGACAGTGGAATATGTTTAAATGTTTTCTTTATATTTATTTATTTTTATTGCATTTCTGAGCATTTACCATATTGTGAAAACTGTAAATAATGACCAAAATTTGATAGCAGAATAATATTAATAATTAGTAGCAGCAGCAGTAGTAGCAGTAGTAGTGTTAATTGTAAATACTTGTGTTTATATTCCTAAGTAAGCCAGGCTGTCGTTTGTTCATATGCATGGTCAGAGGGTCTGTACAGAAAAATTCAGGTATGAAATATGAACAAATCTGTGTGCGAAACATTTATACACACAATTAATGTGCAGACATGCGCGTATGCAGCAGGAAATGAGGCTCAAATAAGTTTATCAGTCTATCAGGTTTATCAGGTTTTTTCTTTTAACTACATTAAAAGCTGGTGAAAAGTATGTGTAAGAAAACAAATAGAAAAACCACAAACAAAACAAAATCTTTTCCAAGGAAAGCAAATAATGAATGACAAGATGCCGAGATCAGCAGCTCCAAAGGTCACAGAACAGGGATCAGCGAGAGCGACCCTGGACACATTTCAGTGGTCTGTGCTGTTTGCAGGAAGGTTTTTCTATTGTGTGCATGTGCTGTCAAATTGATGTTGTTTTGTCAAGTTGCACTGAGCTCTTTTGACAAACTATCGTTTTGTTTTTAAACACAGGAATATGCTCAGTGCTTTTTGAAACCCGTATGGGCTGCATGAGTGAGGTGATCCCCGAGAAAACCCAAAAGTTCATTGTCTCCGTGGGGGAAATGTTCCATCTCTCCCAAGTCGTCATCCTCTTCCCACAGTTCCTCTGGCCCTACCTGCAGTCCTGGAAAAGGTTTGTCGCAGCCTGGGATCATCTCTTCAAAGTTGGTGAGCAACATAAATTTTTAACCAGTAAATAAAAGTGTGGTGTGTTGGTAAATTCACTGCTGAATATTTATCCGCTTTCTGCCATTATGTGATTTCTAAAACCACTTTGAAACATGTTTTCTGTTTCAGTGCAAAAAAAACAAACACCTTTCAGGCTTTTCGTTAAATATTCACGATTTAAAATTGAAAAGACTTTTCTAGTTGTCAGAAATCTGTAGGATTTAATTCATGGAAACATTACCTACTCCCGATTCCATACTGGTTGTGGATCACCAAGGTTAGTTCAGTTCAGGGTTCATGGACATTTTCAAGTAGCACTATCAGCTAATTTCAAGGTCAGCACACACAACACACACAAAGAGACAAAGTCCACCCTACATGTGGCATTTCACACAATCAGTGTGCTAACAAGATCCCTAACTGTGTCTCTCTTTCCCCATCTAGTGGGCAAACATGTCTTCTCACAGTCTTTTTCTTTTAATTTCACATGAGGTAAGATGATGTTGTCTCTCGTAGCTGAAGAACTGGTGAATAAGAAAATTGAGGAGATCCAGGAGAATGTCCACCTGGACAAAGACGTGGAGGGAGCGTATCTCACACACCTCCTGCTCAGTGAACAGATGAACAGCACAGAGATCCTGGGCAGCATCACTGAACTCCTCCTGGCAGGAGTAGACACAGTGAGTACTAACTACACCGCTCCGTCATTCCCAATTCCCAAAATAAATTTGTTTGCATTAAAGTGTCTCCCATTATTCGTTTAGGCTTCCAGGTTTCCATCTTCCCAGAGCCACTTAATAAGAAACAAAAAAAAATGTTAGTTTTCCTTTATATAAAAACAACCCACTGCCACTCACCCTAGATAGAGACGCAGTTATTGGGAAACAGTTTTACTTCTTCTATTCTACTTCTAATTTCTGTTTCTACTATTGCTAACATGTTGGTTAATTTAAGTTTCTTTTTCTCTCTTTTCAGTTCCACCTTTTTTCTTTTTGCTTTTGTCTGTTCCTCTTTATTAAACACTTCTTTCACATTAACTCTGTTCTACAAGGTGCACGAGTGCACAGGGAAGGTAGGGGAGGGGCCAGCGATGTGACCAGAATTGATTGGGCATTGTATTGTCAGTAATGAAAATGAACAAATAGGCTGCTGTGCACAATGCACCGTGCACAGCAGCCCTTCAAGCCAGCCTGTATAGTTATATTGACAAAGAAAAAAAGAAAACTATACAAATGGAACATGTGGAAACATTACATAAAACAGAACATTACACTCTGTGTTTCTCTGATTTGCAGACCTCCAACACTATCTCCTGGTCTCTGTACCATTTGGCGAGGGAGCCAGAGATCCAAGAACAGCTGTACCAGGAAGTTATAAGCGTTTGCCCTGGGGACAAGGTGCCAAACAGTGATGACATAGCTCAGATGCCGTACCTGAAGGCCATCATCAGAGAGACACTGCGGTAGGAGGGGAATCTTTTTATTAATAAGATAATAACCAAGGTGAAATGAAACACTTATCTGCTCCTAAACATGGAAGTTAAAGAAATAAAACCACTTAAAAGAATACTTCACCATTTTGAAAAATGAGTGCAACCCTTTGCTTAAAGTTAGGAGACGTGGTTTATGGACTTACATGTTTGTAAGGGGTGAGATAGCAAAGAGTTGCATTTACTGAACAAATGGAAACTGTGTTGATGCCTTGCTGCGTTTTGTGGTCGCCAGCCTGTATCCAGTTGTGCCAGGAAACGCCCGCGTCACTGTTGAAAATGAGATTGTGGTGGGGAATCATCTCTTCCCAAAAAAGGTAAGATGCACGTTAAGCACACCTGGCCTCTTACTAGTAAATAAATGCAGTCTTGTCTATACAGCGCCATCTGAAATCAGTTGGGGTTGTTGGGGTTCAGTCATAGCACAATAGCAAACGTCATGGGTTTCCTCTCTTAGACGCTGTTCCACCTGTGCCACTACGCCGTGTCCTATGATGAGAATATTTTCCCCAACCCTCACACCTTCCTGCCGGAGCGCTGGCTCCGAGGAGGGGAGGATAAGTCCAAGCAGCACCCGTTCGGGTCAGTACCATTTGGTTTTGGGATCCGGGCATGTCTAGGTCGGCGGGTGGCTGAACTTGAGATGTATCTCCTCCTCTCCAGGGTAAGAACATCTGTTCCTAATGCTAATGATGCTCCGTGCTTTCTTATAAAGAAGCAACTTTTGCCAACACAGCAGTGTACTTTGGCTTTGAGTTGAGCATGCAAAGCTACTGTGTGAAGTCTTGCCCAGGCAGCAGAGTGGATAGTGATAAAAGCTACTAGATTATACATCTAATCCAAAAACAGTTTGCATGTTTTGACAAACTGTAACTTGCACTTTAAGTTCTTAAAATATAACTTTAAGTGGAAAATTGGAAAAGGTAATGGATAAGGTTTGGAAGGAGTGCTGTGAATTAATACTTTGCTTTATGTGAGTTGCTGAACAAGTTATTATAAAAACTCAACAGTAGCTTGATGCTTACAACTTTAAAGACTTAGAAGGTACAGTTATGTTATTATTCCACTGCATATTATGTTAAAGGATCCATACAACTTTATAACTATAAGACTGCAAGACTGAAAAATGCAAACAAACAGGGTCCAAACATTGTGCCGTTGCTTTTTTAAATTTCCTGGAAATCGGTTGTTCTTCAGCTTCATTCAGGGAGCAGTATTAACCTAAAGTAACTTCTCGGCCCATTCAAAGCTGTTTACTCTTTTGTCGGCCTGGGCATGCACATGAATACAAACCACTCATCAGGCTCTTTGACCTGAGTCATCCAAAATACACAGTAGTCAATTGGCAAGCAGCTGGTAATCAGTGAGTTTAAAATTTCTGCTCACATAAATAAATGTCAATTCCATGTTTTTCTTTTTAAAGAGTACTCTTTCTTTTTTGTGTGTTTGAAGTTGATAAAGCACTATGAGGTGAAGCCTGATCCTGCTGGAAAACCAGTGAAGCCAATCACCAGAACTCTGCTTTGCCCTGCTACACCAATCAACTTACAGTTTCTGGGCAGACAAGTTAAGCAGGCGGAGCCAAGAGCAAAGTTAGCAGGTTCTCCGTGAGCTGTTTTTCTATTCAAAGTCTTCATTTCACTAACCACTTGTTTATGTGGAGTTTTATTTCATGAAAACTGGATTTATGTTGTACAGTATATAATGGAGACACACATACATCTTCCTCCACTGCTTATTTAACAAGATAAACTGGATCACATTCAAACATACCTGCCTGGCCACCCTCTACATTGACATCTTCACCCTTCTGCAGTCCTTCATGACTGAAGAATTGTAAAATATTACTATTAGTATTACTATAGTTAGATAAATAGCTACTATATTATAAAAAAAACGATATACTATTGGCTGAAAATGACAAGCAGTGGAGGAATTTTTCAAACCATTTCATTGGGAAAAGGAAGCAATAAAACACTATGGAAACACCTTATTAAAGAAAAAACTGTATTAGTGGAAAATTGTGCATAAAGTATAAAAACTGAGATAATTATTCTGAAGAAAATTATTTCTCATCAACGTTAAATTGATTAAAATTACTTCTATATATGTTTAAGGGTGACCTAATTTTAAATACTTTATATTGTGTTTAATGTCCAGCTCCATTCACAAAATATCTTAATTATGAGTTTGTAGTAGCTGTCCAGTGAGGAAGCTGTTCATGACCACAGAAACAAAAGTCTACGTCTTTATTTTGCACATTTAGCATTCAGCAAAAGCAGAATTAAAAGGATTGAGCAACGTGTGACATGGTTAACTGTCAATATCTACAGGGTGATTTCAAATATGAATGAAAAAAGAACGTGGAGTGTTGGCAAAACAGCTGGTTAAACATTTAGACATTCTCATAGATGCTAATCTGAAAGTGCTGGCTGACCCTGCACCTGGTCAACTAGCCTGTTTTTATTAGACTGGACATGTTCAGAGAAATCGTCACAGCTTTCCTTGTTAATGTACTAAAGAAGTTATTAAAAGCTTTTTCGTGCTCTTCTTTACATCACATATGTTAACAAAGGGTGTTTAGCAAGAGGGAACTTCTCTGTTATGATGCTAAATCTCTAAAGCTGGTTTGCTTGGTAATGCAGACCATAACTGATCTCAGAGCAGTAAAAGCTGAGCTAGCGGCAGCTTGCCTGTCACGCTAGTCTGCCATCAGTTTACTGGCAGACCAGTGGTTTGTCCACAATGCACATGTGCAAACCACAAGAAAAAGGTTTCTGGCCTCTCAGCTTGCCCAGCTTTAGTCATTGGTAACAGGAGATGGACACACCCTCAGGGACTGACAAAGCTGTGGTCTCCTAGGAGACTGAAATAAGCACATCTTTCAGTGACAATGTTACCAGTGGTCACAAGATGGCAGTAACGTAAAGCCACACATCAAGTGAAAGAGAAGGAGCTTTATAGCAGTGCTGTCTGAGGTGAAAGGAGACAAATCACTTTACTTTGGTGTGTTTTACTTTTTGTGTATGTTCAGACTTGACAACACACTCACAAATACACACACACACAAGCAGTATGTAATCTTGCTTTAATTAAGGAACATGACTGTCAATGCAAGTGAAGGACTTTGAATGCACATGCAGTACTTGTGTGTGGATGTGGAGGTTTGGTGTGAGTTCATTTATGTAGAAATTGGGGACCTATATCAGCTCACACACCAGTTAATTTGGGACTACTGTCCCCAGTTAGATTTGAGGCACATAAAATATTTGTATTTAGGGTGGGGTTTTTCTGTGTCGCATTGTGTATGTGTGTGTGGTAGTTCTGAATGTTAATGTGCATGGTTATCTGTCTCTCTGTGTTAGCCAGAGTTGCATAAACAGAAGGAAATTAATAGGTGGATATCCCATCAATGATCATGTCTGAAAATAAATCTATACTGCACAGGTTTTTAAAGGCATTTTAACATAAAGTAAACTTTCTTCAGGAAATCTATCATTTTAAGTTTAAATTTTGGTTTTATTGCTGATTGTTGGAAAGTTTTAATGTTTACTATTAGTAGTATATACTGTCGTAGACCAATGCTGCCCTCTTGTGGTCTGTTTTGTCCTTGAAAACATTTTTCATTCACGCCTTACTCATATTCTTTCTTTGCAGAGACAATAGATTTTTTTAAGCTTCTTTAATGTGTCACTGTCCAGACATAGCTTTTATAGTCACAATAAAATGATCAGGTGGCCAGTGAGCAAGAAAATGTTTAGCTGTGTTCTGGTGACTTGTTTGAACAGCCATGTGATTGTTATTACCACTTCTATTAGCTGTTCGAAAAATGTTAATCCTACACTTACAAGTCATGACCCTCAAAGTGATTAATAAATCCCTACATGTCAAAAGGTTGTGATTGTTTGGATTCTTTTATAATCTGTTTAATGCTGTATGTTCAACTAGAAAAAGGTCTCTTTTCCCCAGAGAGCTTTGTGAGCCATAACACCTGTAAGGTGCTCAGATCCTGTGGGCTGCAAGCCCAAGAAGAAGAAAAAGAAGAAGACAAATTCTTTTATTGTTAATATGTGCGTAACAAAATTTTGCTCGGTAGCTTTTGGCACAGAAGAGAACTTCCTTTTACATACATAAATATACTGTTCATACATATGCAGATACACTATAAGACAAGTGAAACCACACTATCCATGTGTGCAGGTGTGCAGAAATAATATGTGCAAAAAGTCACAGAATTGGATTTCACAGCTCTGGGGAATGAAGCTGTCTCTCAGGCTGGTGGTACGTTTTCATGTTCCTATACAACTTTCCTGAAGGATCCTGTTTTTGGGATCTGTCTAGCGTACACCGAGTCCAGATGTGGAAGTGGATTTCCCACAATCCCTTGTGGTGTTTTCATCACCCAGGCCAAGGGTCATACTAAGACAGATGATACTTTCTTTTGTGGCTCTGTAGAAGTTCATGAGCAGCTGAGAAGAGAATTTGTTCCGTTTTAGCTTCCTGAGGAAGAAGAGCCTTTGCTGGGCACATCACACCCAGAAACTTGATGTTGTCCACACGCTCTACTGCCTCTCCGTGTATGAGGAGAGGACCGTGTTTTGTCTTGCCGGACCGCCTGCAATCCACAATGACCTCCTTGGTGTTGCTGCTGTTAAGCACAAGGTTGTTGTCTAAGCACCACTGTGTCAGTTATTGGACACTCCTCCTGAATTGTGCAAAGGACATTGTTTGCACAAATCAGAAATCTTTTGGTTCGTTCAGATTCAGCTTTGGAAAAAGAAGCCATGTTGCCATGTCCTTTTTAAAGAGAAAAGGCTTTCTTCTGGCAACCCAACGAAACAACACCATTCTTTTTAAGACGATATTTCAGTTAGAAAAAACACTGTTTTACAACAGTTATTTTTTTGCCCGAATCTTGGCACCGGTAACTTGTTACCTTAGATACTTCTAAACTTCTGGCTACTACACTGGTTGTCATTAATGCCAGGCTGACAAAAAGTCAGAGCTCTTTTGAGCCAACAATCCCTTTAACGTTAACTAGTAATGACTTCATGAACTTCTTCACAAATAAAATTTTTATCATTAGAGAAAAAATTACCAGTAATCATCCCACAGATGTAATATTAGCTACAGCTACTCTTAGTACCATTGATGTTAAGTTAGACTCTTTTTCTC